TTTCGTGGATACGGGTTGTCACATGGGTTGGGCAGGCTGGTCTCGAAGCCCCCGTGACCTAGTGACCCGCCGCCTCGGCTCCCAAAGGTGTAGGAACAGGGATTGAGCCACATGCCCGACCCCTTTCTTTCCATGATTGGAAGCAAAGCCCAAGCTAGTTGGGCCTGTAGCATTCTCAAACGTCTCGGATTCACCTTGGTGGCAGGTATCCCTTTCCTCTGTCTTTGTTATTCTGGCAAATTGGCAGCTGGAGTGGGGGGATTTGCGGCACCCATCAGATGGAGGTTTGATGCGTGGCAAGGGTTCCAGTGGGGTGATGGTGATTATCTCCTTACTGTGAGAATACTCATCTTGTTGTCTCTCCTTATTTTGTTAATTCTCTTTTCTTATATTAGTTTTTTAGAAATTGGGGGTCCGGGGCCGCGCGGTGGCTCAAGGCTGTTAACCCAGCACTTTGGAGAGGGCGAGAGACGGGCGGGATACGAGGGGTCATGAGGATGCGGAGCCCATCCTGGCTACACGGCTGAAACCCGTCTTACTAAAAAACTACAAAAAAAGCCAGGGGCGGGTGGTGGGCACTGTAGCCAACTACGTCGGGGCTGAGGCAGGAGATGGCGTGAAACGGGAGGCGGGAGCTATGCAGTGAGTGAATCCGGCCCACTGGATAGGCTTGGGGGAGAGGAGGGATCGTCTCAAAAAAAAAAAAATGAAAAAAAGAACTTTGGGGGTCTCATTTTTTACCCCAAGGGGAGGGCAGTAAAAAAAAAAAAAAAGCAATTACTGCGAATGTCAGGGTTGGGGGATACTTCTGGAGAGAAGGGAGGGGCTGGCATTGTGCCCAACTTGAGCCCTTTCTGGAAATAAAGAGTCTAGTGGGGAAGCCAGAGGCACAAGTGGAGATTCAGGCGGCAGCACCAGGAGGGTCCTTTCCTCCTTCCCACCTCCTTGCCCTTTCTTTCTGGGAACAGGAGAATGATTGTCTTTCTTCTTTGCCTTCCTAACTAGATAGAGTTTCTGAAAGGAGAATTTACATACAGGATGTATACCATTGACATGCACAGCCAGCTGGAACTGACTGCTTTGTTGATACCCCAGCCAGGCACATCCCTGATTCCTCTGGTAAGTACATCTCGATGTTTCTGCTATCGGGATTCTCAGCCACATGCCGGCAACTCAGCTTATCTGACAAAGGTGGAGGTCCTCGCTCAAAAAAAAAAAAAAAAAGACACATAGAGACAATTTCTATGCAGAATCGTGGTGCCTTGAGTAGCGTCTCTCCTTGTGGGGGATGCCAAGGGATTTCCAGAATCTGGGAGTGGCACCAGGC